CCACAGCTGCTCCAAGTACAATAGAAAATCCAACAACAACCACAGCTATGACTGCAGTTCAAACTACATCCACAGCTGCCCTAACAACAACCATGGGTTCTCCAACAATCACCTCAACTACTCCACAAATTACCACAGCTACCCCAAAAATAACCACTGCAGCTCCAACTACAATCAGAACTGTCTCAACAACAACCACAGCTGCTCCAACTACTACTACAGTAGCTCCAACAACAACCACAGTTGCTCCAACTACAACAGAAAATCCAACAACGACCGCAGCGATGACTGCAGTTCCAACTAAAACCACAGCTACCCTAACAACAACCATGGGTTCTCCAACAATCACCTTAACTACTCCAACAGATACCCTGAAAACAACCACCGCAGCTCCAACTACAATCACAGAAAATCCAACAACTTCCACAGCTGCCCCAGCAACAGCAGCAGCTGCCCCAACAACTAGAACCATGGGTTCTCCAACAATCACAGCTGCTAAAACAACCACTGACTATCTGACTATAACCACAGTTGCTCCAGCTACAATCTCAGCTGATCAAACAACCTCAGCAGTCCTAACAACAACCACGGTTGCGCCAAGAACAACCATAGCTTCTCCAACAACAAGCATGGTCGCTCAAACTACAATTATACCTGCTCCAAGTACAACCACAGCAACACAAACAAGCACAACAACCCAAACAACAGATGCTCGCACAACCACAGCTGGTTCAAAATCCTCAGTGGCCCAACCAACTACCACAGCTGCACAACCAGCAATGGCTACTTCAATTACAAGCACAACTGCCCCAGCAACAACCACAGCTGCTCTAACAATCACATCTTCTCCAATAACAACCACAACTGCCCCAACAGCCACACCTGCTTTCACAACAATCACAGCTGGACCAATTACCTCAGCGGACACAACAACCACAGCTGCCCCAACAATCATAGCTCCTCCAACAACATCCAACCCTGCCCCGGCAACGACACCTGCATCCACAACAACTATAGCTTTTCCAACAACAAGCATGGTTGCTCAAACTACTACTAGACCTGCTCCAACTACAACCACAGTAACACAGACAAGCACAACAGCTGTTCCCACAACCACAACTGGTCCAAAATCCTCAGTGGCCCAACCAACTGCCACAGCTGCACAAACAACAATTGCTACTCCAACTACAAGCACCACTGCCGCAGAAACAACCACGGCTGCTCCAACAATCACAGCTTCTCCAACAACAACCACAGTTGACCTAACATCCACATCTGCTTCCACAGCAACCACAGTTGCCCCAACAACTTCAGCTGCTTTCACAACAACCACAGCTGGACCAATGTCCTCAGCAGTCCCAACAACCACAGTTGCTCCAACAATCACAGCTTCTCCAACAGCAACCACACCTGCTTCCACAATGACCAACCCTTCCCCAGCAATGACACCTGCATCCACAACAACTATAGCTTTTCCAACAACAAGCAAGGTTGCTCAAACTACTACTAGACCTGCTCCAACTACAACCACAGTAACACAGACAAGCACAACAGCTCAAACAACAGCTGTTCCCACAACCACAACTGGTCCAAAATCCTCAGTGGCCCAACCAACTGCCACAGCTGCACAAACAACAATTGCTACTCCAACTACAAGCACCACTGCCGCAGAAACAACCGCGGCTGCTCCAACAATCACAGCTTCTCCAACAACAACCACAGCTCCCCTAACATCCACATCTGCTTCCACAGCAACCACAGTTGCCCCAACAACTACAGCTGCTTTCACAACAACCACAGCTGGACCAATGTCCTCAGCAGTCCCAACAACCACAGTTGCTCCAACAATCACAGCTTCTCCAACAGCAACCACACCTGCTTCCACAATGACCAACCCTTCCCCAGCAATGACACCTGCATCCACAACAACTATAGCTTTTCCAACAACAAGAATGGTTGCTCAAACTACACCTATAGCTGCTCCAACTACAACCACAGCTACACAAACAATCACAACAACCCAAACAACAGCTGCTCCAACAACCACAGCTGTACCAACAACAGTAGTTACCTTAACTGCGATCACAGTTTCCCCAACAACCACAACTGCCCCATCGACAACCTCAGCTGCTTCTATAGCAGCCACAGATGGTCTAACAACGTCAGCTGCTCCAACAACCTTAATGGCCCAAAATACAACCATATCTGCACCAACAACAATGGCTGCGTCAACTTTAACCACACCTGCCCCTGCAACTAAAACATATGTGCTACCTACAAGCACTGTACCAGCAACAACCACTGCTGCTCCTACAACAACCACAGTTGCTGCAACAAGAACCACAGCTGCCCTAACAACCACACCTGCTTCTCAAACAAACACCACACCTGCTTCAACAACAACCCCAGCTTCTCAAGCAACAAGCATGGTTTCTACAACTACAACCACAGCTACAGAAACAAGCACAACAATCGAAACAACAACAGCCGAAGTTGGTCCAAAATCTACAGCTACACTAACAACATTAGCGGCTTCAAGTACAACCACAATTTCCCTGATAACAACCACACCTGCCCCTACAACAACAACACCAGCACTAACTACAACCACAGCTGCCCCAGAAACAATCACAACATCCCCAGCAAAAACCACAGATTCCTCAGTAACAAACACAGCTACTGCAATTACAACCAAAACTGGTCCAACAACTTCAGCTGCTCAACCAACCTCAGAGGCCCAGACAACAACCACAGCTGGTCAAACAACAATGGCGGCTTCACCTACAAGCACAACTGCACCAGCAGCAACAATAACTACGCCCACAACAACAACAGCTTCTCCAACAACAAGCATGGTTAATCAAACTACAACTATAGCTGCTCCAACAACCACAGGTCCAAAATCCTCAGTGGCCCTACCAACTTCCACAGCTATACCAACAACAATGGCTGCTTCAAGTACAACCAAAGTTTCTGCAACAAAAAGCACACCTGCCCCAACAACAACAGCTGAACTAACTACAAAAACAACTGCCACAGAAACAACCACAGCATCCCCAGCTAAAACCATAGCTTCCTCAACAACAACCACAGCTGCTGCAAAAACAACCACAATTGGTCCCATAACCTCAGCTGATCCACCAACCTCAGTGGCCAAAACAAAAACTATGGCTACAACAACAACAACTTTGGCTGCTTCAACTACAACCACAGTTTCCGCAACAACAACCACACCTGTCCCTACATCAACAGCTGCAACTACATCCTCAACTGCCATAGAAACAACCATAGTGTCCCCAGCAAAAACCACAGTTTCCTCAGCAACAACCATGGCTGCTACTATAACAACCACAGCTGCTGCAACAACAACCACAGCTGGACCAACAACCTCAGCTACTCGACCAACTTCAGTGGCCCAAACAACTATAGCTGCACCAACAACAATGGCTCCCTCAACTACAAGCACAACTGCACCAGCAACAACAACAACTGCTCCTACAACGACCACAACTGCTGCAACAACAACAGCAGGGCCAACAACCACGGGTGCCCCAACCACACGTGCTTCCACAACAACCACAGCATCTCCAACAACAAGCACGGTTGCCCAAACTACAACTATAGCTGCTCTACCTACAACCACAGCTACACAAACAAGCACAACAGCCCAAACAACATCTGCTCCAAAATCCTCAGTGGCCAAACCTACTACAACACCTCTACCAAAAACAATGGCTGCTTCAACGACAACCACAGTTTCCCCAACAACACCCACACCTGCTTCTGCAACAACAGCTCCACTAACTACAACCATAATTGGCCCAGCAACAATCACAGTGTCCCAAGCAATAACCTTAGCTTCTTCAGCAACAAGTACAGCTGCTGCAATGACAACCTCAGCTGCTCCACCAACCTCAGTGGCCCAAACAACCATGGCTGCACCAACAACTGTGGCTGCTTCAACTATAACCACACCTGCCCCTACAACAAAAACAGTTGCACTAACTACAAGCACAATTGCCCCAGCAACAACCACAGTTCCCCAATCCACCACACCTGCATCCACAACAACCATAGCTTCTCCAACAACAAGCATGGTTGCTAAAACTACAACCATAGCTGCTCCAACTACAACCACAACTACACAAACAAGCACAACAGTCAAAACAACAACAGCTGATCCAACATCCACACCTGGTCTAAAATCCTCAGTGACTCAACCAACTACCACAGCTGTACCAACAACAATGGCTGCTTCAACTACAAACATATTTTTCGCAACAACAGCCACACCTGCCCCTCCAACAACAGCTGAACTAACTACAACCACAACTGCCCTGGAATCAACCACAGTGCCCATAGCAAAAACCATAGCTCCCTCAGCAACAACTACAGCTGCTGTAACAACTACAGCTGGACCAACAACCTCAGCAGCCTCAACAAAAACCACGGCTGCTCCAACAACAACCACAGCTCCCCAAACCACCACAGCTGCTTCCACAACAACCATAGCGTCTCCAACATCAAGCATGGTTGTGAAAACTGCAACTATAGCTGCTCCAACTACAACCACAACTACGCAAACAAGCACAACACCCCAAACAACAGCTGCTCCAACAACCACAACTGATCCAAAATCCTCAGTGGCCCAACCAACTACCACAGCTGTACCAATAACAATGGCCGCTTCAACTACAACAACAGTTTCTCCAACAACAACCACACCTGCTGCAACAACAACCACAGCTGGTCCAACAACAACACCTGTTTCCACAACAACCACAGTTTCCCCAACAACAACCACACCTGCCCCAGCAACAAATACAGTGTCCCCAGCAAAAACCACAGCTTCCTCAGCAAGAACTTCAGCTGCTCAACCAACCTCAGTGGCCCAAACAACATCCATGACAATACCAACAACAATGACTGCTTCAACTAAAACCACAGTTTCCCCAACAACAACACTTGCTTCCACAACAACCACAGCTTCTACAACAAGTATGGTTGCTCAAACTAAAACAATATATGCACTAACTACAACCACAACTGCTGCAAAAACAACCACAGCTGGACCAAAAACCTCAGCGGCTCCAACAACTACAGCTTCCTTTACAACAACCACAGTTGCTGCAACAACAAAAGCAGCTGCACTAACTACAGCCACAACTGCCCCAGCATCAACCACAGCTGCTGTAACAAACACCACAGCTACCCCAACAACATCAGCCACATTAGTTGCCCCAACTACAACCACATCTGTTCCATCAACAACCACTGCTTTCGCAATAATCACAGCAGCTCAAAAAATAACCACAGCCTCTCCTAAATCAACCACAGCTGCCCCAACAACTACAGCAGCTACAACAACAACCACAGCTGCTCCAACATCCACTTTAATAGCTCCAGCATTGACCACAGCAACTACAAACTCAACCACAAGTGCTCCATCTGCAACAACAGCAGCCCAAACAGTAACCTTGAAGATTACAACAACAAGTACAGACTTTGCTGCACCAACAACAGTAACCACAAGATTCTCAGAAACAGAAAAAATAACAACAGCAGCCCCAACAACAATAACATCTCCGCCAGCAACAACCACTGCTAATCCAACCACTGCAACAGCATCACAAACAACCACAGCAGCTTCAACTACATCAACACAACCTACTACAACATATACAGCAGCCCCAACACATACAGTTGCTCAAACAACAGCCACAGCCTCTCCATCAACCATTACATCAAGCACATTATTTCCAACAACAGCAAATATTACCACGACAGCTGTTCCAAAAACAACCACGTCTAATCCAACCACGAAAACATCATCCTCAACCAACACGGCTGCTTCATTAACAACCACATCTCCAACAGCCACAACAATAAACACAGCAGCTACAACAACACCTTCAAAAGTCCTAACCTTAACTACAGAAGTCCAAGCATTCACCACAGGAACTACAACAACAACCACCACAGGAACCTCAGAGACAGAAACAGCAAAAGCAACTACAGTAGCCCCAATAGGGACTATAGCAGTTTCTGTTCCCACAATAATCAATACTCCTAGTACAACCACAGCACCCTTAGCAGCCCTAAATGTCCCAACTAGCACTGCTTCACCAACAACTGCTGCAGTTTCAGCAATATTAACAGGCCTGACAACTGCCCAAACAGTCAAAACAACAACCACAGCTTCCCCAGAAGCAATCGTTGCAGTTCTAACTATGACAACTGCAGCTCAAAGAGCAACCACAGGAACCACTACAGCAGCTCCGTCAACAACTGCAATTTCTCTAACAAAAGCTACTGCACCCCCATCAACAATTACATCTAATACGACCTCCAAAATTGTTCCATCAGTTTCGATAACCATACCTACCACCAACACTGCAGCCCACACACAAATTTCAGTATCTACTACAATTACTACAGTTACTTCAGAAACTACCCCACCTACTGTGACAACTAAGACCTCTACAACACAAGCCCCTGCTTTGGTCTTCATTGCTTCAGCCACTATGGTAGAACCATATGTTCCAGAGTTAAGCGATAAGAACAGCGTGCAGTTTCATGCTCTTGAAATAAAAGTGATACTAACTGTAAGTAGGTTTGTCAAATGTTTATTGATTTCAAAGAAAATATTCATTAGAAAACATTCTACTTTTTATGTTTCATTTTATCTTACAATCCTGCCATTTTTGTTCCACAGTTTACAGCCATCTACAAGTCTAAATATGGGCATCTCTTCATCAGTTGCTATATCATTGATTTTAAGTAAGAATTTTAACATCAGCCTTAATCTTTTTTTTCACATAGTATAACATAATATAACAAGTATACTTTATACCAAAACAGTTTGTTTGTTTGTTTTGCCCTAAGCTCTGCATGTTGCTTTTTGCATTACTATTTGTTGGTGTGTTGCAGACCAGCTCAACAAATCACAATACGAATGAATGGTACTGAAGTGGATGTTGGCCTGGTGTTTAACAACACAGTACAAACTGAGCTAGTCCCAGCAGCTAAAGATGTTGAACAAACCTTACTGGAAGCTGCAACTAATACCAACCTCACCTTCAATGTCACCTTTCAACCTTCCACAATCCAAGTAATAGGTATGTAATAATACTTGTTAAAACACTAACACATGACCTTTATTAATTTGTTTGCTTTTTATTGAAATTTGCTTTTGCACCTGTCTTTTGTTTTGTTGATGTAAAATTAATATTTTTAATGTCCATATGCAATTAAAATCAAAGCAAAAATAAACTTGTTACCAATATTGACTTTGTCTTTAGTCACGAGATATTCCCTTTTCGATAAATGCCTTGTTTGCTTGAATGACTAATGACATCCACTGCCTTCCTTTTGATAGTAAGGGAAATTATCTGGATTATTTTGATTATATCAATTATCATTCTACAATTTGTATTAGTTAAACTTTTTGTTTTTTATGATAAAATATCCTTAAGTTATCTAATAGGGTTCAAATGAAGGCAACTGGACTTCTTTGGTTTCTTGAAGACATTTTGCTTCTCATCTGAGGAGCTTTGTCAATTCTAACTGGAATATAGGAGAGTGAAGTTTATAAGCTGTAGCTGTCTGTTGTTGCTTAAGGAGCAGAAACTGCTCTGATTCCCCCTCCTCTCCACCCCCTAATGAGTCATCAGCCTCTATTGAGAGAGAGAGAGAGAGAGAGAGAGAGAGAGAGAGAGAGAGAGAGAGAGAGAGAGAGTTGTGTTGATTAGATGCAGAAAGGTGTGACCTAGACTGAAACTGAAACTTTTGACACAGATATCTATGTCAGACCTGAAAATTTTACTTTTTGGGGGGGGGGGGGGTTAGATTTCACCTTTCCAGTTCATACAATGCAGCTTAAAATCTCATTCCTAAGCAGTTTCAGTCTAGGTCACACCTTCCTGCATCTAGTCAAAATAAAGGCTCTCATTAAGCAACAATAGACAGCTACAGCTTAAAAACTTGAAACGTCTTTGAGAAACCAGAGAAGTCCAGATGCCTTCATTTGATCCCTTTTGGATTGCCATGACCTGGATGACTGAGAACCTTCACCAGCATAACTCTTAAATTGAACAGATTTTTTTAAAAATCATTTTCACTTATTGTTTTTGGCAGATGCACCTCGCACAACAACTGTCACCCCAACTGCAAAGGATACAACCACCATTGCTACAAATGCAACACTAAATGTGACATCTACCACTGCTACAAATCCAAATGCAAACACTACCGCTACTGCAAACATTGCATCAACTGCATCATCACCTGCTACCATTGTTGGAACAACTATACCAAGAACAATTTCAACTGCTGCTACTACTACCGCCAAGGTTACACCAATAACCACTTCTACAACCAGCACCACAACTACTACAACTGCTGAGCCAACAACAACAAGGCGGCTGACCTTCAGATCTGCTAGGGAAACATTTATCACTGATCTGGGAAATCCATCATCTGCAGCATTTAAAAAGCGAGCTGCACTAGTAAAGGCAAATGTAAGTCTGTTATCTTCTTCTTTGAGCAGCCAATTTTTTACAGTTTATAGCCATGACAAAAACGAAAGTCCTCCCTCTTTCAATTCTAAGATTTTACATTTCAGGGCCTTCATTTATCAACCATACTTACACACAGATCTGTGCATATTTTTGTGCATAGTATGGATTTTACGCATAGTGTGGTATTTACCATTTTGTACTTGTGTGTAGAAAATTTCCTAAACACACTGCTCAGAAAAAAGGAAACACATAAACATTGCCATTAACTCCACATCAAACACAATTCTATAAAAATAAAACTGTCCAGTTAGAAAGCAACACTAATTGGCAATCAATTTCACCTGCTGTTGTGCAAATAGACAATAGACAACAGGTGGAAATTATTGGCAATTAGCAATACATAACCAATAAAGGAGTGGTTCTGCAGGGTGTGACCACAGACCACTTTTTGGTTCCTATGCTTGGTTGGTAGGCAGGCCTTGTTCCCTTTATGATTTTGAGCATTGTATAAGAACACCACTGACCATGCGTACAAACTGCATCTAGTGGTCGAACGGGGGAACTGCAATACTGAAGGTCTCCATCATCCATGCATGTTCCTCATCAATTACTTTTACCCAATAAGAAAATCAAGTTGTTGGAAAATCAGCTTTATTGCACAACTGGTGTTGGAACTTCTAAATTACACCTTCAACCAAAGAGAATTTAACACTGTACCATGGCTGATCTTGTGTTATCGAAGGATTTGGCGGAGTGTGCACTCCTGTGAGAATGCATCTTCTGTGAGTGCACTGATCTGATCCTTCTTGAGCTTTGCCCTTATTTGGGACCAGTTTTTTCTTTGTGACAGGGACCTCTCCTCTGACCCAATCGTGTTTACAGCTTTTGCTTTTAGCCTGTTGGTTAACCTTGAGCTGAAAAAACTTTAACTTCGGCAACCAGTGCCTTGATCTTGCTGTCGCTGAACACAGGGATTTCCCTCATGAACGTAGGATGTGGTGTGACCAAATATGGTTAGTTGAGGGTGTTTCTGTATGCAGTGGTGGCAGGTCAATATTGTATTTTGGTGGGATGCATTTTTGCAGTCAAGCTAATTTCACGAAGTCAAAAGAGTAAATTCAGTCTTACCTTTGCTGGTTTATGGTCATAATAATCCATGTCATAGTAAAATAAATTCAACTCTATTCATGTTATCCATTGTTTTAACGTCACTTTGAGCTGAGTCATGACTGTTTAGGGCTGTTTTTATCTGCTGGAGAGTGTTTACAAATCTCAGACTCCACATTTCATAATTTCCCAGTCTCTCTAATAAGAGTCCACAAGGTGTAAGCAGTTGTTCCAAACTGAACTAAGAATGGTGAGCTAAAAAATAAAAAAGAAAGAACGGTGAACTGTGGGGAGCTTTCTGTTTCGGGTGAACCATCTGAGCTGAACTGAGACTCTCCTATTCTTTTGTTTTGGAGGGTTGGATCCAGCGTGCATGCTCCCAGTTATAACAAATATCTATGGTAAAGATCACTGCACCCGAAAGGAACAGGGAATATGTCACAAGGCGATTCGGTCGTGGTAAACGTGTGAAATAACATTTTCAAACTATACTTAAATGCCAATTAAACACAGCACTTAGGATGTATAGATCATTTAGTTTAATTAGCATGTTTTTTTAATATATTCTGGGATTCCTATCTTCTTCTTCCTGTGATATTGGTGGGGTGGCACCCTAGCAACCCCTATGAACAACTCGCCATTGTCTGCATGTAAATGACTGCGAATGGACACGAGCACCTGGTTACGCAATTAGCAATCAGTTGTGAAGAAATGTGTATGCAATCACATTTTTCATAAATCAGGATTTTTGCTGTTACACAAACATTCTAAATTTAATTTGTAGGATGGAATATTGGACAGTTTCTACAAACAGTTGATAAAGAAGGCCCTGGATTGCAAATTATTTTAGAATAAAAAATTATTTGATCAAAATAAGCCTGCTTTTAGCAGACAGCTTTAATTAAGAACAGATGTTGAAATCAAACCAATGGAACTGACAGCATATAGACCTATGCAAGTTTCAAGAATGGTAAACATCAGTGTTGATTTGTTTTTGCAGCTTGAACCATACTACCAACAGCCATATCCCACATTCCGCTCACTAACTGTGGTCTCGTTCAGGTAAATGTTTGGTGCTGTGCTCGTTAGATATTTGATCACAAATTTGTTCAAATCTAATGATGTTTGTTTCTGTTTGCAGCAATGGATCAATCATCAACGATGTCGACCTTCTATTTGCCACAAAATTTGTGCCCAATATAACAGAAATTGGAAGACTTTTGATTTATGCAGCACCCAACGTCACTGACTTCAACATTGACCTTAGTTATATTTATGTGGATGGCATACGTAAGTAACTTTACACTTATTACATAAAACTGAATATTTGCACGTTTTTGAATATGCATTTATGAAACCATTGCCAATGTCTCATTTTGGTTTCTCTACATTTGCAGAAATATCAGGAGGGGTCATTCACCAGATCAGCCTCTTGACCGCAGCCTGCATGCTGTTGTTGTCATGGCTACTGTCAAGCTAGCAATAGCATATCTGCCGATTTGATGTTGAAAATCCTAATAAAAATTTTAAAGTTTGCTGGTATGGTTTAATAATTTGTTCAAATGTGAAACTTAGACCTTCTCATGAATGGAAATTTTAATTAATACATCCAAATAAAAAATCAAAGTAGACTTTACATGATGCATTGATTAAAAAAATGAAAGAAAGTGATTTTGTTAGAATATTGTTTTTTGATTTACTGCTTTAAACTAGTCAATGAAGGAAATAGCTTTGTTACTTATGGTATTAGAAAATTGTTTTGTCAAAGCTATGACTGACACTTTCTACAATAAACTTGTTTAAAATCTTAATTGTTAAGTGAAGGTAATCAGGGATTCCCAAAGTGTGGTGCGCACACCCCCGGGGGTGCGTGAGCTGCCGCTAGGGGGTGCGCGAGGTGAAAAGTGTAATGGCTGCGGAGCTCAGAGAAGTCTGTCATATGTCACCATTCGCGTAGCCAGAAACTCATTTGTGGGTGGGCCAAAGAAAAAGTAAGTGGGCACAATAAATGTAATTGAAAACAAGTATATTTTTGCGCGCGCGCGTGTGTGTGTCCTCCGCATGTGCCCTAGCTTCATAATAACAATGCGCCGAGCTTCAGCACTCTGGCCTGCGCACTCCGACATGTTCCCTATTTGATCATTTTTAACAATGTTGGAGAAATCTGAAGGTGGCGAGTCATTCTGGCAGATTGTAATTAACATCCCGTCTCATGCAGGTGTTCTGACATTGTAAACACCGCGGTCAAGTGAGCCGTCATTATTATAAACCTCACACACAGAACATTGTGGATGTAACTAAATAAATCAAGAAATTATTCCCATTCAGGCTATTCAGTGCACTGAAGATCTGAAGTTCAGAGTGCGTCTGTCAGAGGTCAGACGCGTTCCAGCGGAACCACGGCTCACGGGTGCACAAGTGAGCACATCTGGGCTGGGCAGAAGTTATTTTACAACGTTGGTTTAAATAGCGCCAATAACGAGACGCAGTGACTTGAGCGGCTCATGGAGCTGTGCCGCGCACGCGCACACACACACACACACACACAGATTCAATAAGCGGGCACGCTGCGCAAACTCCGGCGCGCCGTCAGACTGAAGGCAGAAATGAGCGCTGCCTCCTCTGTGATAACAACTTTTAAGAGGTTTTATAACAATATTTTTCATTCCAGGTCAAATTAAGATATTAGCTTCTATTTTGGGATGACGTATTAAAGTCGGGTCCGCTCCAGCCAGTGACTCCGAACCTGACCACAACTCATGTTACTGCAGCATTTGTTATTCCAGTCCACGTGGCAGCGGATCGCAGATTCAGCCACACCATAAAACAGTTATACGTCGGTCTGAGGCAAAAGTGAACCTCATGGCTTTTCCATATTTTCCCCTATAGATATTTGATTACGCACAAGTAGGTGACCAGTTCAGGTTTACGCAGAGCAGAAGGAAGGAGAGCGCTCTGGCCACAGGTTAAACGTTCCTACTTTAAGAAAACCGTTAAATTGCATTGTTTATGTGCTACCTGGGCACTCTAAATATTTATTTAAAATTAAATCAAAGGAAATTGTAATGGTATTGAATGTTTATTAATTACTATTTAAAAAATGAAAGTGATGGGGGAAAAAGGTCGCTCATATTTTTTTAACCCTGTCTGTTTAGCTTGACGTCTGACCTGATGTGGGGGCTGGGGGGTGCGTCGACATGGTCGGGACATAGAAGGGGGTGCGGGGCTAAATAAGTTTGGGAACCACTGGTTTAAGGTGAACATGAAAAAAAATGTCCTTTTGGGCTGTTTAGTTAATGATTCTATGGAAAAGAAAATAAATGTTATGTTTGAACATTACTGTATTATTTACTTATTTGTTTTTTCCTTTTAAATATTTATGATATAAAACCTTCTATTCAGTATTTCATTGTGTTTTTCTTCTTATTTATACTCATACTCGGCATAATCAGTGCTGCTTTTGACACGGTAGATCACAATGTTCTTGTAGAAAAGCTTGAAAATGTTGTAGGGATCAAAGGAACAGCGCTAGGCTGGTTTAAATCCTACCTGTCTGACAGATTTCATTTTGTAACTGTACATGACAAATCTTCTTCATACTCCAGGGTTACTTGTGGAGTACCACAGGGTTCAGTGCTTGGACCAATTCGTTTTACTATATATATGCTCCCAATCGGTAAAATCATTAGACAGCATGGGATAAACTTCCACTGTTATGCTGACGATACTCAGTTATATTTATCCATTAACCCTGATGAACCTAATCGGTTGGGTAGATTACAGGCTTGTCTTGAGGACATAAAACATTGGATGACTCTAAACTTTTTGCTTTTAAATCAAGACAAGACGGAAGTTCTCATCTTTGGACCAGAAATCCAGAAAAGGAAATTGCTTAGTCAGTCACCTGACCTGAATGGCATTAAATTAGTCTCCGAGAACAAAGTAAGGAACCTTGGTGTTATTTTTGACCAGAACATATCATTCAAATCCCAGGTTAATCAGGTTTGTAGGATTTCCTTTTTCCACTTTCGGAATATTGCTAAGATTAGAAGCATCCTTTCTAGGAGTGATGCTGAAAAACTAGTTCATGCATTTATTACATCAAGACTGGATTACTGTAATTCATTACTCTCAGGAAGTCCACAGAATGTAGTTAAAAGTCTTCAGCTTGTCCAAAATGCTGCAGCTAGAGTTCTGATGAGAATTAAAAAGAGAGATCATATCTCTCCTGTCTTAGCTTCCCTACAATTGGCTACCTGTTAAATTCAGAATAGATCTTAAGAGCCTTCTTCTCACATATAAAGCTCTTAATAATCAAGCTCCATCATACATCAGTGATCTGATTGTTCCATACGTTCCTAACCGAGCACTTCGCTCTCAGACTCCAGGTTTACTGGTGGTTCCCAGAATATCTAAAGTTAGGATGGGAGGCAGATCTTTTAGTTATCAGGCTCCTCTTCTGTGGAACCAGCTCCCAGCTTTAGTCTGTGAGGCAGACGCCTTGTCTACTATTAAGAATAGGCTTAAATCATTTTTATTTGACAGGGCTTATGGTTAAAATCTGATGTTAGCCTAGATCTGGACAAGTGGGGGAGTAGAGGGAGGTGGAGTGTACAGTCGGTAAAGACGGCTCTCCCTTGCCCTGCCTCCAACATGCCCCCATCTAAAAAGGCTAGGTTATCCAGAGTTATCTCTGTAGTTATGCTGCTATAGGCTTAGACTGCTGGAGGATACACTGACCACTTTTCACACTCTACTACTTTCTTCTACAATCTGCTCTTTAACTGTATTATTTCCTGCTATTTCAGCTATTAACTTTATTTTTTCTCTAAGTGTTTTTCTCCCCAGAAGAAGCTACAATGATGTTCTGCTGAGCTGTGGTGGCCTCAAGGAGGGGGCCATCGTCTAGCACACTGCTGCTAACCACTTAAACTTTCTCCCTCTCCTGACTTTGTTTCCTTGACTTTGGAAACTTGTTGTTTCCTTGACGTTGGATGTGCTACTACTAGTTTACCCGTTTAACAATAGATTCACTAGGATAAATACAATAAAGTTTACCTCTTGCCAAATAGAATATTTACTAAGCAATCACGGTGTAACCACGGACACATTGCTTGGTGTGTGTGTGTGTGTGTGTGTGTGTGTGTGTGTGTGTGTGTGTGTGTGTGTGTGTGTGTGTGTGCGTGTGCGTGTGCGCTCTGTCTTCTCGATCCCCAGTGAGTCGTGGTGGATGGCTGCTTATACTGAGCCAGAATCCTCTGGAGGTTTCTTCCTGTTAAAAGGGAGTTTTTCTCTCCACTGTCGCTATATGCTTGCTTAGTATGAGGATTGCATGATGCAATTTGCTGGGTTCCTTATATAGGAAACATTTTTTATGATTGGCTTAATGAACTGACCTGAATTGGAATGTTTATTATGTGAAGTGCCTTGAGATGACTCTTGTCATGATTTGGCGCTATATAAATAAAATAAAATTGAATTGAATTGAATCATACGATAAATTATTTTCATGATTTCATCATATGGTAATAATTGCCTTCTGTTATTTAACTCTTGTAACCTAAATGTCTTTATCATGTTATTGTATTCAATAAACAAATCAATATGTATAGTCATTGTGTTATTTGTGAAAACTATTACTTTGAGGCACATTCTTTTAGTCTCAGTATTTTTATTGATGCCATACAGTATTACCAGTTGGTTAGTGTAATGATAATAGAGGGTAAATTGGGTTAAGTAAATTGCTTGAAAAACTATTTATATTATTACCACTACTTGTGACCAATAGCTGTGATACTCTATATATATACCATATTTTATTGGATCGGCTTGGGTCTTGGGTTGGGGTGATGGGGGTGGCGCTTAAATGGTTCCGCTCCTACCTATCAAACCGTACCATCTCTGTACAGATTGGTGACTGTGCATCCTCCAGTCTTCCACTGCCTTGGGGGGTGCCGCAAGGTTCCGTTCTTGGGCCATTGCTGTTTTCAATCTACCTTCTGCCTCTGGGCAATATCCTGAATCAGCATGGCCTGAGCTACCACATCTACCCAGATGACTGTCAGCTATACGTGGAAATGGACGAGAAAAATGCAGGCTCGAAATTGGCTGCATGTATGGATGACGTGAAGGGCTGGCTGGCATCCAACTTCTTAAAACTGAATGAAAAGAAGTCTGAGTTTATTGTTTTTGACCCCCGCAACCACCATGGCTCTCACCCTGTTTGTGACCTTTTAACCCTTAACCCCAAACAGTGTGTGACGAGTCTCGGGGTCAAGCTGGATGCTGGACTCACAATGGGCCCACAGATAAACTCTGTAGTGAGATCTTGTTTTTATCAGCTTCGCCGCCTTACTCACCTCAGACGAATCCTGAAACGGAGGCATTTGGAGTCAGTCATTCATGCATTCATTACCTCTCGCCTGGACTATGCAAACGCCCTCCTCGTTGGTGTTCCGGACTCTGCCCTGAATCGGCTGCAGGTTGTTCAGAACGCTGCTGCCAGGTTCTTGACGGGTACACACCGACGTAGCCAC